GGGCACATCGGCCAGCTCGGGCCGGTCGAGCTGTTCGACGGCGGCATAAAAGGCGTCGCAGTCGACGTGCACGACCCACTGGGTCAAGTCTCGACTGGCTTCGAGCTGGGCGATCAGCTGGTCCGCGTGCCGCAGCTCGCGCGAAAGATCGAGCCGCTCGAGGCGTTGCTTCTTGGACAGGATTGCGGCGATCTTGCGCGTCAGGATATGGTCCTTGGCCTCCTCGCGGTTGAAGAACTTGGATCCCTTGGAGGCATTATATATGATCTCGGACACCTTGCTCTGATCGACCGAGTCCTGCCCGGCCTTGGTCAGTGACGGGCCCAGGAGGGAGTACTTGAGAGTGTTGTGGTCCAATTCTGCTGCTGCCGCATCAGGGGCAATGGCCGTCTTGCCCTCCACGGACGCCGGCGCTGGCTCATGGTCAGGTCCCGGGCTCGGCTGGGCGGGGCTCTCGTTCTCTGTCATGTTGCATAAAAGAATGCCGGCTATGTCCAGACATTATATGCGCCTCACCAGAAGCAAAGTGTCGACCGTATTGCGAAACACGTCAAAAAGGAAGCGACAGTTGTCAGATGCTTTGCAGAGAAGATGACGCCGGACCGAATCCGGGAAAACGCGTCGAGGCCGCGCTGTCATGTGACCTAAAGTACTTCTCGACAGGCAGCAGACTGTGGCATTCAGGGCCTAGACCGCAAGCAGCAAGGGCCTCGCCGAGTGGATCCATCGCTGAACCCCTGCTGTAAATCCCCTGTGGCTCCCTGTAAACTGCCTATAGACCCCTGCTGTAAGCTGCTTTTTTGACGGTTCTTGTGCCGAGGTGCAGCGCAGTAGTCGAGAAAAAACAAAACCGACATGTCCAACATTTACTTCTTTTTCTACACAAGTAATTATATTATGATTCAAATTGTCGAGAGCAAATGTTTCGTACTTTCTTGGGTAATTCAAGATTCCGGTGGAGCGTGCACCTTGTCTGTGTTTTCATTCGCCCGCTGCGCAGAATCGGCAACAATGGTAAACTTCCACAGCACATAACATGGGAGAACGGATCGAGTCATCGCCGTTGCGGTTTGTTATCTTTGCCTCTCCCGTATTGCAAGACATACATCGACAACGCGGTCTACTCGTGTGGTCTTACACATACTTGAACAAAATGTTGCCATCGCCGGGCCGCTCTCACACCAGAAACCCACACTAGTCCTCCCTATCTGTGTAGCCGTTGCGGTATTATTCCCTCATGAATACCGGTTCCAGCTTCCTCCGTGATATAGAAGTGTGTGGATACCGGGAAGCAACTGAGACACAACTTGTTCATAAGTTCCATCTCGAAAAAGATGAGATGGCGCGGCTTGGCAGTGAGATGTTGACATGCCAATATCTGATTTGACAAGACCGCCCTGCCCCTACCTACAGAAATTCCATCATTAATATATTTTACCGTGGTCTCGGTAAGATTACCGAAAACAACATTACATACTGCATACGCACTGAACCAAGCTGGCCCTTGGCCCAACGGTGTTGCTTTTCCGAGTATAGTTGCACAGTCGACCTGCATGCGCCCTGGCAGTGAGTAAGTGGCCAGTCAAGCAGCCTCGGCAGCCTCGCATTGCCTCGCCGTCCAAGCTGTCTCTCCCTCTGATAGCGAGCTTATTTGGACGCTACGAACCTTCTTTGCATGACCAGCACAGTTATACTCGCTAGCACAGAACCGAGTCAGCATTGTTTTTTCCGACAGCATCTCGCTGTCCAAGCCTGGACTTGTACCGATTAGGGTTCATAGATGGATTGCCTAATTCGTTCGCAGTCTCTATATGCAGGAGAAACGGCAGCGTTGCCCTGTTTCCGTTTGCCAAGCACGCATAGTGGCAATTGACTCCTACACTTGCACGCTTCTTTTCAACTGACGCGATCAAACGGGATGTCCGTATTCCCGAACATGCTATAGACATGGACCATGGCGAGGCAAGCATACGAGGAAATGCCCTCAGTCTGGCCGTCGGATGAGGTCTCCAGAGGGCGTCTTATTCCCTGCTCGCGACTACAGCAAAAGAAAGCGGGCTCATGCAATCGAAAGAAGGGATATAGTGTCAACCGCCATGGTGGTGCGGCAATGTGCAGATCCTGTGATCAGAACCATTAACACCGCCATTTACTCGAAACTGATCTTCAAGATCAGACTCTTGATGTATGCACGTCCAAAATGACATGACCATGGGTCTGCATATGGTGCAGAACTACGCATCACGAACTAATACCCAGAACCTTGGGTCTGGATGCGACCACTCTTGGACATATAAGACGTTGACATCTCGCCCAGAGAAGAGGAAACCTTTCTTGTAGCAGAGCAACTCGCACACTCACTCTCACTCCATACATTCTTTTCACAGTCATCCTTCGTTTCTCTCTTCCCCCCGGTAATTCCCGAACACCCCAGTTCCCCTCACCCAAAAACTAACAACACAAAACACCATCATCATGCAGTCAGTGCTATTGCTCGCTATGATCTCTGGGGCCGCTGCCGCCCCATCGTGGTGGTGGCCATGGGGACCTCCTCCTCAGCCCAGCAACCCTCACAACCCTCGCCCTCCGTTCTGGGGCCCTGGAGGCGATATCCCCCCCTACCCCGTCTCCCAGAGCATCGTCACTGTGACTGTCACGGAGGAGCCGGAGCCTATCACCACCAGCGCCTCCACGTCTGCCGTCAGCTCCGACTTCAGCACCCAGTCTCTGGAGCCGACTTTTGACTCGACCACCGATCTTCCCACTTTCACTGCTCCCTCCGCCACACTGCCCTCGCCCTCCACCAACGCCACTGTCATTGTCGAGCCTACATCGACTGAGACGTTGACTTCCACCGAGGTTGCCACCATCACCACCATCTCCGGCTCTCCTACTGGCGCAGGCAACTCGACCGGCACGGTCATTGTTGTGGTAAGCAGTTCCGGACATTTTTGTGGAAGACGCAAGCTAATTCTGAATATCATAGCCCACTGCCACGGACACCTTGACATCTACTGAAGTTGCTACCTTCACCACAATCTCTGGAGCTCCCAGTTCCTCGGGCAACTTGACCGTCACTCTCATCGAGCCTACCTTCGCCTCCACATCCAGTGCTCTCACCAACGGCACGACTGTCTCTGCCTTCCCGACTGCTTCAGGAAACTTGACCGTCACTGTGGTCCCGACCGGAACTGGCGCATCGGCCTCTGGCGCTCCCACTCTCTCGGGCAACTCGACTGTCACTCTGACTGCCTCGGTCAGCGGCACTACGCTCATCTCTCTTGAGCCTACCTTTGAGTCCTCGGTCTCTGGCGCCCCTTCAGCTTCCCTCACTGCCTCAACCAACTCGACCATCACGGTTATTGTCATCCCCACCGGAACTGGCGCATCGGTCTCTGGTGCGCCCACTGCTACGGGCAACACGACGGTCACTTTGACTGCACCGGCCAGCGTCTCTCTTGAGCCAACCTTTGAGTCTTCCGTTTCCGCTGCTCCTACTACTTCGAGCAACTCGACCATCACAGTCATCGTCATCCCCACTGAGTCTTCAGTTTCTGGTGCCCCTACCGCCTCGGACAACTCTACTGTCACCTTGACCGTTGTCCCCTCTGCCAGCGAGACCACTCTTATCTCATTGGAGCCAACCTTTGAGTCGTCTGTCTCTGCCGTCGTACCTACTGCCTCGGATAACTCGACTGTCACCTTGACTGTTTTGCCTCCCGTCTCTACCTCCGCTTCCGCCAGTGAGACCACCCTCATCTCCCTGGAGCCAACCTTTGAGTCGTCAGTCTCGGGTGCCCCGACTGCTTCGGAGAACGCCACTGTGACTCTGACCGTCGTGCCCACTTCTTCTGCCAGCGAGACCACCCTCATCTCCCTGGAACCGACCTTTGAGACCACCTCCGACTCTGCCTCGGCCACATCCAGCACCCTGGCCGTCACGGGCAACTCGACGACCATCACGCTGATCGCGCCCCCGACCCTGACGTCGTCGTCGTCCGCCAGCGAGACCACCATCATCTCTCTCGAGCCGACGTTCGAGACCCCGTCGGCGACGGGCGAGACGACCCTCACGGCCGTGGTCCCGACCGAGGTCTCCACGTCGACCGAGCTCACCATCGCGACGACCTTCAGCACCACGCTGCCCGGCGGCATCTCTACGGACCTGACGACGCTGACCACCATCACCAGCTCGGCCGTCATCCCGACGCTGACGACCGTCACCGTCGCCCTGCCCACCTACAAGAGCTACGGCTACTGGTACTAGACGGAGTCTCTCAGAGACCTAGAAGGTCCTTTTTCCTTTTTCCCATTTTCCATCATCATGCATTACCGGCCGAGAGGGATAGGAGGAACATGGGTTTCCTTTTTTTTCTGCTTCTTTACACTCATTCATGTTCCCCGTTTATATGATTGTGTGGTTGTGCGGCTTCTCCTTTGTTAATTTGTAATTTCTTTTTCATTTGCAACGCAAAGCAAGCAAAGTCTTTGGGTATAGGATGGAAACAAACGGTGTGTGGTTCACGAGGCCTCGATAAATGAACAGCATGGACGAAACCCAAAGTTTTTCCTACGCTCTCCCTGCACGGGAGAAAAAAATGTGTAATCGTAAAAGAGTTTTCCTGAATACAAATTTCGATCTTTTTTTTCCCCTACCTTGCTTGAATCCCTAAATGCACCATGATCTTTTCACGTGATATATATTGTTATAGTAAAGAGAAAGCATTCGCCGGAGAAATGAAAATAAAATTAAAAGAATCTTTCGTCAGATCCCTTTCTGAATGTAGCATCTCCAAGTCGTAGTGCCAGTCGAGAACCAAAGGGAAGCCCTACCTGCGGAGCAATATAAAGCCAGACGTCCCTCTCTGGCCATTACGTATTTATTGTCCGTTATTTGGTCAGGTTCAATCTGATACATCTCGTGGCTGGCGCCTTCCCTTATCACATAAGCCGATAACACGAAGCTCTCATAACAACGAAAGGTGGATATCTTTCAATAAGCGCCTGTAGTATAGTGGTTATTATTCTCGCCTTCCACTACCAAGTCAGCGAGAGACTCGGGTTCGATTCCCGACGGGCGCAATGTTTTTGCAATTTTCGACTCTTTTTATCATTTTTAATTATACTTACATATCTTCTGCTTATACCGCGAAGGAGTGTAACTCGGAACACTCTTCCTATCCATGTCAAACTTGGGTGAAAAGCGCTGCTAGTTGCCGACGATGCACTCATGTTGAATGAACCCTTGATAGTTCGAGCAATGTAGCCTACCTCCTATTCTAATTTTGATATGGTCAGCATGAGTTCCTCCCCTCCTATGAGCACTTTGTCGTGCCAAAAAAAAAGTCTTCTGATGTTTGCTTCTCTGCCATCGAAAGTGACAGGCCGATCACTTCATATATGAATCTGTTTTGGCTGTCTCGCACTCCTGTGCATATACTACCAGAGTATGCTGATCATGATGCGACTGCATACACTACGCGGACGCTTCGAAACAAAGTTAACACTCTGGCATCATCGGGACCAGAAACGCACGAGTACACGAAATGCTATCGGCGCGGCGTTGATCCGACTCCATCAAAAGGAACACGTCGAGAAGATCTAGGTGTCCACAGCCCCAGAGTGCCCGGTGTGGAGATTTGATGCACTACTGGGGTCGCGGCAGACCGGCAGTCGTGAATATGCCCGATGCATACCTATGTGAATTTCGATGAATAAATCGGAACAGATGTCTTGAGGTGAACTTGGAAATAAATACACAATCATAGGGCTATGGCTACTGACGGACGGGCAAGGGACCATGACTTGGCCAATCGCCTTTACCGAAAATAGCTGTCAATTGCCCGTTCCGGCCCCGTCTGCGTATACTCCCGGCCTAGCGCACTGATGTCTCGATTTCTTTATGACCATACGATGGACGCGCTGACTGGAGCTGGTGAAACCTTGATAGGCCCATTGTTCTATTACTGCCTTGGCAGCTGTCCAAATGTCAGGTAATTGTGATTTGCAGGGAGAAGAAAGCAGCTGTCAGGTCAATTACTCAACTGTGGACGGACAAACATGAGACGAAGGTTTTTGTGGAGCGTCAACGTCATAGTTGAAACAGCTTGGGTTGGAGCTTTTGGAGCTCTCTTTCGCTCTGCTCTGCTGGCATTGGGCATTGCTCAGCTCTGAGCCCTTGCACCGCCTCAACGGGAGACCATCCGGAGCCCTCAAGTGCTTTGCCCGGACCAACGGGGGGACTTTCGGCAACCCTTTTTAAACTTTCCATGCATCGACCGACAAACATAACAATCTCTCATCTTATAATCCTCCTTCTCATCTTTTACCTGTCAAGCATCACCATCTCGAAAATGCCCAACCAGTTCGCCCAGAAGATCCTCAACAAGCTCGGGGTGAACGACCACCAGGACGACGGCCAGCAGGCTGGCGGTCCCGGCGGTCCCCAGGGCGGCGGCGCACACGGCCAGGGCCACGTCGCCCCGTGCCACATTGCCGAGGAGACGCTGCTCCTCAACCCCCAGGGCGGCACCTACCCGCGGCTCTGCAGGCTGTCGGACGGCAGCGTCCTGTGCGCCTCGACCCGGTTCGAGGGCAAGGCCCGCGTGCTGCACGTGGCCCGCAGCACCGACAACGGCCGCAGCTTCGCGCCCTGGGGCGAGGTCTCCCGCGCCGAGGGCGACTGCGACAACCTCTTCATCTGCGAGGTCGGTAACAGCCACGAGGGCCCCATCGTGCTGGGCGCCTTCCGCAACCACGACCTGGGCCCCGACGGCAAGCCCGTCCACTTCCGCATCACCGTCTGCCGCTCCAACGACGGCGGCCGCAGCTGGCACTTCCTCTGCCAGGCCGTCGAGCACTCGGCCGCCCAGAGCGGCGGTATGGGCCTCTGGGAGCCCTTCATCCGCATGGGCCCCCACGGCCAAGTCGAGCTGACGTACTCGGCCGAGCTGGCCGGCGACAACCAGGAGACCTTCCGGGTCGTCAGCCGGGACGGCGGCCAGACCTGGTCGCAGCCGCATTGCCTGACGTGCCACTCGCCCGACGAGAGGCTGCGCGACGGCATGCAGGGCATCGTGCTGGTGCAAGACGCGGCGACGGGCCACCCCGCGCTGGTGCTCGTGTGCGAGACGACGCGGCACGGCACCTTCAGCGTCGAGTACACGGTCAGCTACGACGAGGGCGCGACCTGGGGCCACCGCGGCGTGGCGTACTGCCCGCCGTGGGGCCGGAACGCGGGCGCGCCGCAGATCGCGCGGTTCGGCAACGGGGCCATGGCCGTCGTCTTCATGACGGACGAGGACGCGCCCGAGTCCAACTGGCCCCAGCACGCCTCGGTCAAGGCCGTCGTCGCGAGCGGGCTCCGGAACGGCAAGATCGAGTGGAGCCGGCCCATGCAGGTCAGCCCGCCCAACAGCTCGTGGCCCGGCGTGTTAGAGGTCGCCCCCGGCCAGGTCATGGCGGCGTACGAGCACCAAGGAAAGCCGACGGGCAAGCTGTTGCATTTGCAGTAGTTGTCTTGGAGAGTCCCGGAAAGAAATAGACGAAGCGAAGGAAGACATTCCACTAAAAGAGTATATAAATTAGCTGAGCCATGAAGATATAAAATTGCTTCCACCATGAAACATTGAACAAGATTTACTTGATGACCTGGCAGACTTGGTGAGCGAAATCCCATTCTGCTACATAAATATGTACAAACACGGCGAACTAGCCAGTCATGAAATGTAAAAAAGAACACTAGGTAGGATTATGCTCTGTACACTCATGTCTCTTGGCAAATCCATATTCGGATGGGTCGCTAAAATAAAAGGCTTGGCCTCCGAGGAATACGAATTATACGATAGGTAGCTTCGTGATAGACTATAACAAACCGTGACCCCAACGGGGAATCACTCGGTGAGTCCAATGGGCATGGGCGCTATTTCGTGGTGGCTTGCAGGGCCCTCCACTTACCGGCAGTCCACCGGCAGTCTGCCGGTTTGGCGGGGGTGATCAGCGCTATAGCGGCTCGTTCCCCTAGAAAATGCTCCAGTTATATCATCAACTTAATAAGCGGAGTATATACACCTTGCAGATGGGAGCTTTCTCTCGGCGCGTTCGGGGTCAATCAAGTATCCGTGGCCAATGGCTTGAAGTTCAAGATGCAGATACTTAAGAGATGCGCATGGCCGTCACTTGATATTGGAATTGGTTGATATAGATGAACCTTCCACGCTGCGGAGGTATAATAGCGAATCGAATTCGGGCACAGTTTCAACATCACCATTTCCTCCCGCCATGGCTTTGACACAACTGCCTCTGGGCGTACTCGTCGGAGTCGGCGCCCTCCTCCTACTTATACTTCGTGTAAGTCGCCACTTTCATACTACTTTGACTCTGGCACAAGAAGACCCTTCCTGACCACACTCACTCTCTAGTCTGTATTCAATGCGCTGCGGTCGCCCCTCACCTCCGTGCCCGGGCCGTGGCACACGCGCTTCACCAAGTGGCCCTTGAAACTCGCCGTGCTCACCGGCCGGCGGATCCACCACGTCGACGCCCTGCACCGCGCGTACGGGCCCATCGTGCGCATCGCGCCCGACGAGGTCGCCGTCGCGGACCTGGAGGCCTTTTCCCAGATCCACCGCATCGGCGGCGGCTTTAATAAGTCGGCGTGGTACAACGAGAACGGCACGCGCATCCCCGGCGGCGCCGTCGAGCCGGGCATCTTCAACATGCGCGACCCGAAGCAGCACGCCCAGCGCCGCCGGCTGTTTGCGCGACCCTTTAGCAACTCGGCGCTGCGCGGGAGCTGGGAGGACGCGGTGCGGGCGACGGTGGAGCGCGCCGTCGCCCGGATCCGCGCCGAGGCCGCCGGCGGCGGCGACGCCGACGTGCTCAAGTGGTGGACCCTCATGACCACCGACGTCATCGCGCACCTGGCCTTCGGCGACTCGTTCGACATGGTCGGCTTCGGCCGCACCAACGACTACATCGACGGCCTGCAGAACGCGCTGCTGGCGTCGGGCCTGCGCGGCGAGCTGCCCTGGATCGAGGCGGTCCTGCGCGTCGTTCCGCTGCCGTCGGTCCGGCGCATCCTCCAGTCGGACCAGGTCGTTTTTGATCACGGCGCCCGCGCCGTGTCCAATCTGCGCCAGGTCGGCGGCAGCCAGAACCTCTTCGGCCAGATGCTCGCCCAGTCCGACTCGCAGGAGAAGCAGGACGACCTGTCGGACCTGAGCGTCCGGCTCGAGGCGTCCAACTTTATCGTGGCCGGTAGCGATACCACGGCCGTCACCCTGACCTACCTCGTCTGGGCCGTGCTGAAGAGGCCCGATTTACAGCAAAGGTTGGAGGAAGAGGTGGGAAAGCTTCCGAGCGACTTCACGGACGAGGATCTCGAGAAGCTGCCCCTGCTCAACTCGGTCATCGAAGAGACCTTGAGACTGTACGGAGCAGCACCCGGCGCTCTGCCCCGAGTCGTCCCCGAGGGCGGCGCGACGCTGGCGGGCCATTACCTCCCCGCGAAGACCGTCGTGACGACGCAGGCTTTCACGCTCCACCGCGATCCGGCCATCTTCCCGGACCCCGAAAAGTGAGCCCCAAAATTCTCACTTTGCTTGATGTACATGTTTTGCTAACCTTCCCAGATTCGACGAGACGAGATTCGCGCAGCCGCAGACGGCCGCACAAAAGGCAGCATTCCACCCCTTTGGCGTCGGGTCAAGGGTTTGTCTGGGCATTCACCTGGCGCGGATGGAGCTCCGCCTGGCCGCGGCGCTCTTCTTCCGGAAGTGCCGCGGCGCCCGGCTCGGCAGCAACATGGACGACAAGGTCATGGAGATGGAGAATCACTTCTTGATCGCGCCGCGCGGGCACCACTGCAACATTACGCTTGGCTGAAGCCTTTTTGCAAATGTTGTCATGCGGGAAATCTGGGCGCGGAATCAGGTACAAAGGACGTTCAGACATTTCAGGTACTGTCTAGGTTCGGCTACAATGAAATTGTCATCGTCTGTCAATGCAATGGTCTTTGGAGTGACAAGTCCATTGTTTCTGCTCCTTGTTGCCAAGACTAACGAACTCCTATATATAAGAAT